AAAAACAGATGTGCTGTCCATGAATTCTCTTGAATCGTTTCTAGTTCTAAAGAAAATGTTGTCTGATTCATATCTGGACTTCAATCATTTGGTCTCTACGATCTGTGATTGTGTGCGATGATATCTTGCCTGGTAGTGCTAAGTAAGAATGGCTCTGTCGTTGCATGCAGGTGAGTTCGTTGAAAGCGACGGGTGATGATTTGAAAAGTCGGCTGCGGGATGTGGAGGAGAACGTTCAAAGAATAACAGGGGAACGAGAGCGCTTGCAGGAAGAAGTGCAGCAGTTGCAAGTGCTCATCGAAGAGCAGAGCGTGCAAGAAAAGACATGTCGCATGGAGCTTACAAAAGCTCTCGAGTCAAACAGCGAGAAAGAGGAGTTGTTGCAATCCATGTCGAGGGAGATCAAGAGTTTGAGAGCAGAGCAGCAAGCGCAGCTACTAGATGCAGGGAAGGTAATGCTTGAGATAGAACAGATAAAGACGGAGAGAGACATGGCGGCGGAGGAAGTGACGAAGCTGACACAGGCGTTGGCTGCAGCAGAGCAAAGAGTTGTGGATCTAGAGACGGAGGTACAGAGTAGAGTGCGGCAAGAGGAGATGCAAGACAAGGAGCAGCAGTTTGTGAAAATGAAGGAGAGGGCTGCTATGCTGGAAAAGCGATGGCGGGCAGTGAAGGAGACAGCATCTCGCCTAGAGAAGGATGTGGTTCGTTTGCAGGAACAAGTGAGGAGAGAGAAGGCTTGGAGTGATGCTCAGAGGGAAACACACCGGCGAGAGTTGGAAAGTCAAAAACAGGTACAACTCTTCTTCAGCAGGCAGCTGGAGAAGCTGGAAGGTGTGGAGATGGAAAGAGATAAATGCCTGCTGAAAATTAACGAGTTAAATGCAACAAGGACAGCGCTAGAGAAGGAGAGGGACGAGTCCAAAGAAGCCTATGCGAAACTGGAGCTCAAAGTCCACAAGAGAATGGTGGGATGGCGAGGGAAGTGATCGGGTCAAGTTGTGTGCCTTCTCGCTGCTGTTTCTCATCATCATGTAAACTGCCCTGTGCCCACCCAATTGTTGACAAAGGTGTGTTAGTGCCCAATGCGTGAATGTACATTCTCTCATTCATGTCTGTGTGTGTGTGTGTGTGTGTGTGTGTGTGTGTGTGTGTGTTGTCATGTTCGCTGTACACAAGTCCACAAAGAGAAGCATGACTGTGGCAGACAGTTTCGGCGGACTTTCACCGACTCATCAGGAGGTTGAACCCCGACAGTCTTCCCACCGTGCCCGGGGTGCATTTGACTGGTGGATAAGAACTCACCACGTCTCCCAGAGTCCGCGATTGTGTGTGTGTGGCAATGTGTGTGTGTGTGTGGCAATGTGTGTGTGTGTGTGTGGCGATGTGTGTGTGTGTGTGGCGATGTGTGTGTGTGTGGCAATGTGTGTGTGTGTGTGTGTGGCGATGTGAGTGTGTGTGGCGCTCTGTGTGTGTGTGTGTGTGTGTGTGTGTGTGTGTGTGTGTGTGTATGTGTGATATGCATGTACCATTAGCCACTAGCAATCATTAGATGAGATTAGTATTTGCACTATACAGGCCAGTTCAGGTCCAGTTCTTTTACAAGTCCTGTGTTTCTGAACAGGTCAAGATGTAAGATGGAGTGGAGGTCTCAACTTTATAGAGCGAGCTCGCTCCGATTACATATCAGAGAAAAGGGTCCAGTCCATAGTGGCTTCGTTCGCCCTCTCCGATTTCATTGAGTGTCATTCTTGTCTGGTTGGCAGTGGGAGCAGTGGGAGAGATTGATGCCTTCTGGTGAGGAAGGACAGACTCAGGTGTTGGGGCATGAACATGATAGACTGCAGGCGTCGCTTGTGGGGATTACAAGGTGGCGCAGTGGGGTGAATTTCGACGGCCCCCCTTATCTGACGGTTGTCGATTTGTCGGATAGCGCTGACAATTTTAGATCACTGTGTTGTTTTCTTGGATATGCAGTCTTTGTGATACCCCTTGATAAGGGGAAGGGGAAAAAGGCGGGTGAAGGAGCAGTATAGACTGCAGGCATGATTTGCAAGGAGTAGTAGAAGAGGGCACAGGATGTCAGTTAGTCAGTCAGGGAGGAGTGGCAAAGGGAAGGGAAGGGGAACAGAGAGGGCAATGGCGGTACTCAAATTGGGACTTTGTCGACTGATCTGTGCACAATTTTGGTCAGATACATCCAGGTGTGTACCGTAATTGTGGCCATACGAGGGTATACCCCAGCTGCAGTTTGTTCTTTCGGCAATCTCTTCATTGTGAGTTTTGGAGTACGCTGTGTGTACGGTGTGAGAGCGAGGTGTGTGTCATGTGCTGTCTTCTCCATGATTGACAGCAGCCTCCGTCGCCATCTTCACCCCTCTCTTTCTCTCCTGATCGGTAGCGAGTATGCTCTATGAGGAGCATTGTACACTGCAGGCATGATTTGCAGGGATTAGTAGGCACAGAATGTCAGGTAGTAGGAGAGCACTCTCACAGTGCAATCGCACGGGTTGTTTTAATTGTTGCCTTCTTTAAGCCCAGCCCGTTTCTTGGCGATGGATCTGACAGTCAATTTTTTTTATTTCCTTTTTCTCCTTGTTAAGCCACCAGTCTATCTGATCCTCTCTTGCCGAACCTGCAGGTCAGATGCTGCAGTGTCTGGACCTGGACCTGTTCTTGGAGAAAAAGGGAAAAAGAGAAGAAGAAAAAAAAAAGACCGAAGGCTCGAGTGCTGGGTTGCGGACTCGGTGGCAGGATGCTGCAGCAGGGCGATGTTTTTTTTTTCCGTTTCTATACGCGCACCTAATACTGTTACAAATTTATTGTTTACACTTTGACCGAAAGGCTTGGACCCTCCAGATCCGCTCGTGTTTTTTTTAAAGGGTGGTGATTGCATCAGATCTGCCGCTTCTGGCGACATCAGTCTGACCTATAAATAGGTAAGACACTCGCAGGATCTGAGGTGCTCGATGGCTCCCCTTGGCATCCTGCCGCCTGCAGTTCACCGTTTTCACTCCACTGGCTATTGATTCCACTCTCTCTCGGCAGGGCATTGCGGCTTGCACTAACAGTGCACGGGCTGCCTCCATATACTACTAGTCCTTAGTGCATTCTTTTCTGGCACAGATAGAATCTGACAGATCGACGACATTGATCTGACGGATCCAGCCTGTGGCATGCACTCCTGTTGTTCCATGTCGTTCCAGTGTCCTACTCGAAAAAATACCTCCTAACGCTGTCAATCGTCACCTCGAGCATTCTGTCTGCGACACTAAGCATCAATGTAGCTTTTTTGTTCCTCCTGTTGATTGTTGGCTTCACCGTCCACCCCTCCGCTAACCTGTCATCCCTCTCTCTCCTCCAACTGTCTGACCCTGGCCACCCTCTCTTCTCTGCACGTGTGCGCGTGCTCTCCTCCTCCTTTCTGCCTCCCTTGTTTTCTGCTTGACGCCTTCCTTACCTCTCTCTTCCCCGTTCCACTCCCCCTCTCCCCACTTCTCTCTCTCTCTCTCTCTCTCTCTCTCTCTCTCTCTCTCTCTCTCTCT